CCAGTTTTTCATTAAAACGACAGGAATGCGTCTTCTAAGCGTTAAAAATCGCAGAAACAACGAGACCTGAGCTACGACTGTCAAGACAGCGAAATTCGACTATTTCATGCGAATATTATCAGGAAAGCAATATCATACATGTGATTTGTATAACGGTTCAAGTTATTTTGAAATTTATTTTATTATTTTAGAATTTCTAGAAAAACTTAATTTTCGAAATTTTAGAATAACCCCATTTCAAGTTTTTGTATTAAACTTTAGCAGGATATCAAGAAAACAACCTTTTTAGTGTTCTGCGAATACCTTCAGCTTCAAGAATATCGAGAGGCGAAGAACGCATACCAGCAGTATCAGTGATGGTTACTGGTATGGAGGAAATTTGAAGCGTTGCTTCCAGCGAGTCTCGAGTGGTACCCTCAATGTTCGAAACGATCGCCATCTCTCTGTCCACTAAAAATTTGGAACTTCCATTGAACAGGAAGAAAAAGAACCTGTACTCATACCACTGACCCTATGGCTGAAAAAAGTGATCAATACCGATGCGATTGAATAAGCTGCTTTTGCCGACATTCGTCTCGCCAAGGATAACAATCTGAACTCCATCAGTGATCACTGTCCCTCGGTGAACTCGCTGCTGGATGTTTTTGAGTTTCTCTATCACAGCACTGATTGCGGAACGAATTCCCGCCCAGTCAAAGTCAACATCATCCCCGAAATCGATGGATGCTTCAATTGATGCGCGAACTTCGACAAGTTGATTCCTCACTTTTTCCATTACTTTGCCTGTAATTCGTTCAACATTTCAAAAAATTCAACCACCGATACTGTACAATTGGCAAAAGATCGCTTTTCTCTTGTTTTAAAGGATTGCTGAAAATTTCCACTTATTTCGACGCTTTAATTAGCTACAGCTATAGTGTCGCTTTTCTTCGCGTCCTTGATGCAACTGACAACTTCTCCATTCCTCTTTAAAATATTCTACTTTTATGCTATAGGAGGCTTACCCATCAATTAAAGGCTTTCTCGCCCTTAAAAAAATTATCAAAAAAACTGGTTTAGTGGGTAAACTCATAATCATAAGCATGCAAAAGTAAGGGAGATATAAAAATCAACAAAAAACTGCTAGCAGTAAGCCCAAAAAACAAAGAAAAGGGGAGATAACAAGCAAACGGCTGTGATCCCGGTCAAAAGCTGTGTAAGTTGCGTACCTAACGTATTGCTGCGTAGTGCCAGACGTCGTTGGCGCTGTGTTTGCGCAGCCAGCAGATGTGAAAGTGATTGTACTTCGCTCAGCGTCAGTTTGCCGTTGTAAAATGCCCTGGAAATTATAGAAAATCATGAATATACTGCAATATAGAATAGATAATTTTATGCGGTAATTGAGAGAGTTCTAAATGGTGGAGGAAAAAATGAAAATCCAACTGAATAAAAGATAAGTGCTGTCTAAACTGCGTGGAAAAAAAGAAAAAATTCGACTGAACAACAGGAAAATAGGGCCAGGAGAAAAGGAAAGGGCGGAGGGTAAAAAGGCGCTCGGTAGCCCTAAACTGTATTAAAAAATACAGAAATGCAAGAAACGCCAAATTTTTTTCTGAAATGAGGTCAGAATTCTCCGCTCAAGAAGACGTTTCGACAAATTCCAACAGGAGGAACCACGAGCTCCTGAATTTTGCAGATTTCCACTGATATGCATTATTTCGTAGCGAACCTTTTTGTAAATTCGCCGGCCTTTGCATGCCTCACATTGCTGAATTGCGACAATGCATCCGATAAACAATCAACAACCGCTCGACTACCGTGCACATAGAATTCGGCCACGTCTTCCCCAGTTGATGTTCTCGGACCTAAAAAAATACGGTCAAAGGCCTAACTTGTATTACCCTTCACTTTCTTTCCCCTCTCCCCTACTTTGATGCATTGATCAGCTGTTGTTTCATCGTTGCATTCCCCTCTCGCTATTCATACAGCTAGCATTATACTGTGTTTTGTCCAAATTATCCTTCTTTTATCCAAATTATCCTGTACAGGAGTTAAATTAGATCCTTCCACTGCACTGGCAGCTC